TCCCCTCGAACCGAAGTGCATACCAACAACCAAAATGTCCACCTACGAAGGTAGACCCCGCCTCCCCTTAACCTAATAAAAAGCCAACCCTAACAAAAGAAAAAACAGTCGAACACAATACAACAGACCCAGGCACAGCAACGCCCTCAACCCACCGCCGCCGCCCCGACCTCTCCACATTCTTCGCGGCCCTCTCCGAAATAAGCCCCGACGAAGCTCGCACAAGAGAACATGCCGTCCCCGTCCCGCGCGACGTGAGCGCAGCCTTCTACTCCCTCGCCGAAGCCTTCGACCTGATGCGCCGCGATGGCGAGCACAGCGTACCCACCGGCGAAGGTGACAGTGACCTCCTGACGCAGATGATTCAGAGCTTGCTGAGCTCGGCCGAGACGCCCCCGCGGGAGGTCGAGGGTGTTAGCGAGGAGTTTTGCGATGGTATGTGTTCTTCTCTCTAGTTTTGTTTTGAAGTTGGGGTTGGGTTAGTGCTGATGTTTGGCTAGTTCTGGACCGCGTGCCTAAGGCGTCATTAAAGCCGTCGCAGAGTTGTCCGATTTGCGGAAATGCGTTTTTGGAGGACCAGTATCCGCTTGTTGTGCGATTGCCGTGCCATCCGACGCATCTTTTTGATTTGGAGTGTGTGCGGCCGTGGTTGAGGTTGAGGGGCACGTGTCCGCTGGATCGGACGGATTTTGCGAAGCAGGAGAGGGAGAAGGCTGAGGCTAGGAGAAAGAAGCCAGTCGAGGATGATGAGGAAGAGTGGGATGGTATGTATGGTTAGATGGGGCGTGTGGTGGTTTGTCATGTTAGTAGGCTGCGGAGTTTCGGGGTGAGGAAGGAGGTTGTGTGTGTGATATTGGGAGAATATTATCAGGATATGTTTGATGATTCATGAGGCCATTATCATTGCATGATACTTCTGTCTATCTATGCTAATACTCGATGTGTGAAAGAAAGGACTGAAGTCACTGTCTACAGATTATCTCCTTTCTCCGTTCCCGTCCTTGGGTCGGATTGCCAGCTTGCCAGTCTTGTCGATCACGGCTTCGAACCCGCTCCTCTCGAGTAGTCCGTTCTCGTCTTTTACTACTTCACGCGCCTCTAGCTCCTCTACAAGCTTCTGGTTCTCGCGGTTGCCCTCCAACAAGAACTTCAAGCACATGACCGCATGCTCCTTGATGTAGGGGTTGTGCGCGTCAAAGTTGGTGCAAGACAGGATGGTCTCGACGCCGCCATGCCGACGGATTTGGTCTTGGACCTCCGGGCACTTCCACACAAGAGACGAGAGCACGAGTACGACAAGCTTCTTAAGGTTCCTCCATTCGAATTCGGATGGGTCTTCCGTTATCGGGGGCGACTCAGCTCTAGAAGGGGCACCGCCATCGACCGGGTCTGGATCACTGGGGTCATAGGGTCGTTCAACTGCAACTGGTCCAGGAACTGTGCTTGGTTGGGACTCCTTTGAAGGGCTACGGGGCCCGAGGGATAATTGGCTCAATTGCCCCTTAGGAATGCTTGCTTCAAGTTCTTTGATCAAGGTAACCAAATCGTAGACAATCTCCCATTTGACTAGAAGGTTCTTCCAGTCGTTGTTTTCGGTGAGGACGGCGAAAAATTCCAGGAATTGGTAGACGCCTTCGTAAACCCGTTCCATATCCCACAGATTCAGCGGAAAGTCCTCGGGGAGCGCCCGTCCAGCACGGATCTGGCCTTGAAGGTAGATCAATGCGCAGGTTTCCGGGATGATGTTACCGCGGAAGATGGTGAATATGTAGCGGACTGTGAGAATATCGACTCTAGAGAGCGGTGCTGGGTTCTTCGTTGTGTTGGCCTGCGTTGATCCTGTGACAGAAGCGGGAGAGTATTTAGCTCTAAATATATGTGTGAGAATCTTGACGACGACTGCTTGAGCCGGAGAGATGATGTCCTTTGGTTGGCCGAAGTCAGAGTAGGCATGAGACATGAGGCCGTTCCTTAAAACTGCGTCCATAATCTGCACCATCATTTTGAAGTAGAGTTCATCGTCGGGCAAATCCCATGCGGCGATGAAGATCAAGAGTTCCCGAAGAAGGTTCCGTCCTGTCTCTTGAGTGAGCAGGATATGGCATCTAAGTGCCTGCATATTCCTTGAGCCAGTTCTCTCTCCTCCCTTCAGTCCAAAGCTATCGACGATACCAGCCTGAATGATCATTGGAAGCGCCTCTATCTCCGCGGGGCCCAGGACTAGAGGGATGTCTGTCAATAGACCACGTTGTTGATCGCCTGGGCGGCCTCGATAATCATCATCATCCTCATCATCTTCCTCTTCTTCCTCCTCCATGCTTCCATCTGCCACGGCCTCCAGGCTACGTGAATCGTCGTCGCCAACTGTTCCTGCATCGCCGGTGTCATAATCCTGATCACCGTCAGCCCCGATTTGAGATGACTCTTGAAGTCGTGCCATCAGCTCATCCTTCGCTTCTTGGAGCGTTTCCGCAGCAGATTGAGCAGACCGCGGCATGCTTGTATCTTCCTCCATGATAGTCGCATCTCCTGCAGCAAGTGCACCATAGGCGTTAAGGTCAGGCAGGTCAGCCCAGCAGATACGCGGGAATCCGGCCGTCGTGCTTCGATCTATTGTAAGTATGGCCTTCTTGCGCGGCGGCTCGTCTTCGGGAAGGGCTGGTGGCAGATCTTTTGCTCTGTCTTGGAGGTCCGAGAATCCATCAACCTTTGCACCTAGTATCGCCGTAAGAGCAGCACGAATCTCTTTGACTTGCTCTGGATCCTTGCCCATTTCTTGAATAGCTGTCAAGTCGCGCCCAAGAAGCTTCTCCATGTGGTCTTTGATATTTGCGAGAAGTAACATTGCTGCTTCCTCTTTGATCGTCGCTGGCTCTCTCGGGAAGTTAGAGATAGTCTCCAGGAGCAAGTCTTCTGCCGTTTGGTCGTAAAGAGCCCTGATAGGGGGGTTCACGATTCTCTCACCAGTCTTGACGATGGGCGCCGCTCCCTCAGGCTGACCACTGGCCGGGTCTAGCGGCTCTCTCGGTTGAATGATATTCGAATCTCCAGTGGAGTGGTATCCGAAAAGGTCCAACCAGAGTACCATTTTCCGCTGTTCATTGTGCATGATAAAGTTGTGCAGGAACTGGAGGCATGTGATCAACAGGCGCTTGTAGAGGTTGACTACTTTCTGCCAACGCTCTTCATTCCTTGCATTCGTTTCACCGTCAAACCCGCGGGCAGTTACTCTAACACACGTGTCTACCAATGCTAGAATCCTTTGATCAAAGCCTTTTTCAGCCGCCATATTCTGTGCTTTCTTTGTTGTCGCGAGGAGGTTGCGGGCGATTGTGCACAGATCATTTAGACGTTCGATATCCTTGACAAGTGAAAAATAATTGTAGGCTATCAAGTTCGATGAGGAATGGTCGTAATTCGCAGTCGGGGGGCATTTCCACGCAAATGACTGTGATTCTAGAACGGGGATCGCTTTTGTCAAAACATCCGTAAAGCCCTGCCAAATATCTGGTGACAGGCCTAAATTATGTCTGTCGTGATAACAAAGTCAGTATAGAAATAGTGAAGCGATCAAAGTGACGAGAAAATGGAAGGAACATTACCTAACATCGCTCTCCTGGTGTGTCTTATACAAGATCTGTTTCCCGGCAGATAACATATGCTCGAGGCGTTTATCGTCAATCATCCCACGAGTCTCATAGTGACTTAAGGTTCCCGTTAGGATGACCTTTAGCATGAGCTCGGCCGGGGTACATTTTGGCTTCATGTCCGCAGCAGTCCGGTCAGCCATATTTGACAGGATCTGTGAGGAAGCTCACAAATACTATGCGACAAAAGTTGTTGACTTAGAATAACAATTTAGGCGGGGAAGACAGAAACGCCGCATTGAAAAGTAAATTTTTCCGGCTCCGGTCCCGCCGACTCCCCCAAGTATGCCGAACAACATGATTGGCCAACTGCCTCTACTGTAAAGGAACATGGATCCGTAGGTACTAGAATAGCAGTACTAGTAATGCTCAAAGGATTTAGTCCAGCTACTAAGTACTAATAGTTAAAGGTATCCATATATTCAAGTGTGTTGTGCATGTAGAATCTTAGGACATCTTCCGCCGAGCAGGTAATCCAAAGGAGTGGCGTAGATTATCCCAAAACCCAAGATCATAGATATTGTCAATCTCCCTCATACTGCGTACTAATGTCCACTTATGATCAATAGGTGCCTCCCCGCCATTGGGCTGCCTAATCTCATTGGAATCGGGTGAGAACACGAAGCCCATTCTCGGTGGCTCACCTTCCGTAACTACAAGCACCTGGTCACTACTTGCCGGCCAGTATGATTGCGGGTTCTGATATTCGCGCAGCAAAGGCGAGTTTCCGTAGGCCTCCGCTTGGTAGATTTAAATACCATACCATCAGCGACATCCTCTTTCCAATCGGACCACTTCGCGCTCTCATTTGTCGTCATGCCAGCCCAGATAAGGTAGGTGTGGTAAACGAGAAAAGCCATCGCCAACGGTGCTGTCATGAACATCAATGATGTGACGCCTCCAATACGGAGATCTGACGAAATCACAATAGTCCATACGTTAAAGAACATTGTCCAACTCTGTCTTGTTGTTCGCAGCGGTGAGTCTAGCGGGATCAACTTCTCCCATGACTGAGACAAAAGGGAGAAGCCAATGCATGAACCGTATATCAGCATTAAAGAGAGAGACAAAATCAAGGCCAGAAAATAGCGATAGTTATTCAATCCGACGCAATTCATCAGCCACACGCAATGATGGTCGTGCCGAGAAACGCATGCCCTGCAGAAGCTGCAATGCTTACTCCGTGCCGGCTTAACCATCTCACATGTGGTGCAGTAGCGACCTGGGTGAAAGATGACTCTATCATAAGGATAGCGTTCCATTTCTTGCGCGTGATTTTTGGGGGTGATGAAAGACTTTGTAACAATGCTCTTATATAGAAAGAAATATGGTAACGTGGCAGCAATAGGCATGCAGAGCCTATGGGGCGTGGAGACCCTGGGCCATGCGCTTGGAATGAACATGCACTGCCCTGCTATGAGGAGCGACGCAAAGAATATCTGTTGGGGATATTAGCAAGGCGTGGGGGAGGTATCCACTATTTAAGAAACTTACAAGGACAAGTGGATGATTCTCGTGAAATATATAGCTACCGGTTGTATTCCAGCAGTACACAAGTCGACCGTCTAAGAGGCGAGAATCAAGTGACGATATTGCACTTGGGATGTGTATGCAAACAACCCTATGCAGTAAGCCAATAGGGGTTTTGCTTTGTAAAATATTCATCAGTCATTGCACTCGAAGTAGGCCTCATCACCTTACCGGAATGCAGGCAACTTCCCAAAAAGCGCGACAAATGTGAAGCCAGAAATGCCTAGAATAACCAAGGCGATGGTCCTCAGGAGCCCCATTGTTGTTAACCGACCTGCGTGAAGGGAATGAGTCTAAGCCTCGGCACTGTGGACAGACATGATAGTGGGAAAATATTAAAGAAACAATATTTACGGAGTAGTCGAAGAAAGAATAAGCCTATGACAAGGATGGACTCACTCTATACACGAGCTATCTACTATCTACACGTGACAGCCGTTTGGACGAATTCCTTGGCTTTATTTTCAGTAAACTACTCCGATATAGTACAAGAGACAGAGAAGCTAATTAGTTTTTTGAATTTAGTATGAAGCATGTATTTATTATTATTTTCTTACGCCGTACACTCTAAGTATATCTTATCTATCTATCTTTCTCTAATTGATAAAGATCAGTAGTATACTGAGCAAAAAGAAATGAGGGACGGGCCGGGTTCGAACCGGCGACCTAAAGATAGGTTGCAATATTTGGTTAACCAATCAGGTCATTGCAATCTTCCACTCTACCACTGAGCTACCGCCCCAGGACTGTGGCAATATTGGTCTTGTAGAGAAATATAAGCCTAAATCATGAACATATTACTGTCACCCACAATCCATAGTTCTTCCTATACTGAGACGGCCACACCCCTCTATAGCTTTCAAGGCACCCGGTTTAGGTTTTGGAACAACTACGCTACACACCGGCGCCCTTTGAAACCGACGGAGTAACATATCATATTTACCGTCCCCTTGGCCCATATAGCAGCCTTCTCTGCCATATCTACACGTGATCACGCGTACCACGAACGCGGTTGGAAGCCCGTGCCTTTAATCAGGAGGGGACAATTGGACTCCTGTATCAGGCATAATATATCCCTCCTGGAACTAAAGTTAGGGGACAGCCCTATGGGGGATAAGAGCTTTATGTCTTCTACTGGGCCACTTTTCCAAGGGAAACAATTCTGGTTATCACACAATATTCCCCAACGAAGTAGATTCAAAGACCTCATTCAGGTAATTACCTTCGGTTGCGATTGTATGGTGTCTTGCATCTGACGGGTATATATAGCAACATGGTGGTGTCATAAGGCTCCATGAGAAGGATGCGGATGTCAAGTTGGTTGACCATGCCAGAAAGAATCTCCCACCGGACACGTATGTTGACTATATATACCTCGAGTTTCTTCTATTCTAACATTTTTTCCCCATTGGATTCCTTTTACTCCTGCTGACAATTTGACAGGTATTCGTATCGGTACGTTGAGCGGTCTGTCCGTAACGGAAAGCTGGAGGATCTTGAAAGTCACAGAGCTGGGCCATCCCCAGCTCGCGCTGTCGGGGCCACAAATATCCCAAGCAGAAGACATCTGATTCCATACACTTTAGAAGATGACCAGTGGCTATGGGACCGGATGGAACCGTACGAGAAAGATCCCAACGCCTTCATAGGAGGCAACAAAATATATGAGGAACTAGCTATGCAGGTAAGTTACCTCTGATACCAGATTCATGTGAATCCCATCTTTAAAGTCTTACGTTTCATTCTGTACAGAACCCCCGCCACACCTATCAGTCATATCGTGACCGGTATCTAAAAAGGCTTCGTGGGCGCCGCGTCCGGGGGGTATGTCGAAACCAGATCTTCCTGCATCCGCCGAGAAGGACAGCCGCCAGAAAGCCACACAGAGAGAGCAATCCTCACCGAGGTCACATAGAGAGCAACCCCAACACGATATTCCAGTTATTCATGAGCTAGGCGATAAGAAACGAAAACATACACCAGAACACAACTCTGATATCGAATTAAATGGAGTGCACCTTGCGAGTCAAAAGAGGAGAGCGATCGACAAGATACCCAAAGGCTTAGTTCCCACTATGATACATGCACAACAGAACAAATCCCCACACATTGAAACGACTTCAACACCCGCAACTTCAGTTGCTAATGAGACACATATAACTCACGACCCTACAACGAACATATCCGAACCTGTACAACCCCAAAAAGCAAAGTCCCCAGACCATGATCCAGAAAACGCCCTTGATCCCTTGTTTTTAGAACTGCCTTTCTTGCCGTCAAGTCCAGACTCCGAGCCTGAAGAGCCGCCAGAGCAAGACATCGACGCTTGGATTGATCATCGTCTGCAAACAGGGAGAGCACAGAATGAGGAGCAAATAATTCAGGCTTTACGCTGCACTAGCATGGACCCGTATCTTGCCGATAAGGTCCTTGACTATCTGACTGCAGGAGAAGGCATTCCCGACAATATGCCTGGGGTGTGGACGGCTGAAGACGACAGATGTTTCGAGGCTCAAGAGACCCGAACCATCGAACAAGTCCTGAAGAAGCATGGCTCGGATGCATTTAACCACCGGTGGGAATATCTTGGAATGGCAAAAGCTGCTGGCCTCGATGGGTCAGATAGCTGAAATTCTGACAGCATACATACATCGAGCAGGCTTAAAGTACAATAATCAACAGTAAAGTACAGTGTTATTAGTTCAGAACGGTGTAAGGGTATAGGAGAAGCTTGATTTGTTATGCTGATGAAGTTTTTTGTTTTCTTTTTTCCTTTTGTTTCCCTACTTGTTGTTTCCCATTTCCCAGAGATACCAATTGCCATTAGAGTTCATAGATAAATCAAAAACACCAGCGGAACACCCATTTATGCACTGTGATCAAACAGTACTATCTAGAAAAGATACTGCCTCTCACTTCCCAACGAAATTAGACAGGAATCTTGAGTTAAACCAATTTACACACCAGGCTAGAAAAGGACAAGAAAAAGGAAGTTGCCAAAGAATGCTAGTGTAGAATCAACTCAACCTTCCTTAAAAACCCTAATAACGGTTAGAATCAGGTGGAATTTGTCATTTTCTGGATTAGACGACTCACAAATGCTCCTCGTAAAATTTAAGCATCTTTTAAACATTAGTATTTCAAAGCATACATGGGATCAGTAAACTTACCTTTCGGGGGCATCTATCATAACAGGTCTCAAGGGAGACCTTGGACTTCTTTCCATTCTTCCACTGGAGATATGCAATTAAAGTCGATGTTTCCGCATCACGCAGGATTGTGTCAACATTTTGCACTTCGTTCTCCCAGCTACCGGTCCGGGGAACCCAAGGAGGTAAATCTGCATCATCTTCATCTGGAGTTTCGGTGGCAGCTTCCGCGCGGGACTTTCTACGCCTTTTAGGTTCACTTTTCTCTGACGTCTGCTTTGGCCCAGTCATGGACTTGCGCTTCCCCCGCTGGGGTTTCTCAGGCCGACCACCATGAACACGGTAGTATTCTTCAACCAGGTCTTTTGCGCCCTCCCTAATAGCAATCAATTGGCATATGAGCCGGGTTTCCAAAATCACGCAGTAACATACAGCAGGTTCTCCTCCGGCTCCATGGTCTCATCTGCAGGGTCATCGTATCCTTTCCATTTCACTTGCAGGAGGAGAGTTCCCTATCTCAACATTAGCCATGGCAACTCCACCTGCGACAATGTGATGTGAGAAGGTATGATTATGCGCACATTCTTCGCAAAGTCGTGACCGAGAATCTTTTCAACGACATAGCTGCTCCTGTCAGCACTGATCGTCATTGGTCACTGCGCATCGCAACTCACACGCCCTCCTCATCCTCCTCATCCTCCTCATCATCATTGTCTTCTTGGTTTTCGGCATCTGAGTCATGGTCTTCTTTCGCGTCGTTATAAGGTATAGATTCTCCGGTTGACTCGTCGTCAGAAGGGTTCTCCACGGGTGCTATGCGATTGTCAACTCCACGGGGTATCTCGAATGCGACCAAGTCAATTTATCACTTACGCGGCATTGTCCGGCGAAAAGAAGCGAAAATTTGAGAAAACAGCTTGGCAATTTGATTCAAGGCGTACTAGAATAGACTGCTATGCCACCCCTATAGAGACTGGTGCTCAAGAGTAATTGATGATAATAGTTGCTTTCAGTACTACTTAGAACGGCGAGTCGCGCAGTCGCGTGAATGCGAATTGGCGCTATACCCGATATGGAAAGCAGCTCACTAGCCCGACTGGGACATCAGAACATCTCCAGAATTTCTAAAAAAGACCCCGTCCAGTGTGACAGAGTGTCCAGGCCCCTGAACTCCCCACATCGCTTTGATAACGTGCTTTGGGGAACCCTTCTTATATTATCGTTGTGTTCCTTGCGTTCTCCAAATACAAAAGTTTGGACTTGTGTCACACGGCAGACCGACAAAATGGCGATGCGTATGTCTTCCGTGCCCCTCATTTGAAGTCGATGTACTAACGTTTTCAATCTCCTCTATATAGAGCTTGATTTGTCTCAAGGTAGAATCTTACCGTTATATCGATGATCATATGCCTTCGGAGTCTCCACTGACAATCCGACAGCTTCTGTGATGAAAGATGAGCAGGGCCGGCCGTTCATCGTTGTTCGAGAGTACGTTGCGGATCAACACTTTTAATACGCGGGGGAGGGTTCACGATCCTCTCGGGGCAAATTACTGATATGATGGATTTTGACAGCCAGGGAAAGAAGAAGAGGCAACACGGCAACGATGCTGTGAAATCACATATTGTTGCGGCCAAAACTGTTGCCAACATTGTTAAGACGTCTCTGGTATGATTTGGACGTGGAATTACATTTTGACAGCATCTAAGAATGATCTAGGGTCCTCGTGGTCTCGACAAGATTCTTATTTCCCCAGATGGTGATATCACCGTGACTAACGACGGCGCAACCATTTTGTCCCAGGTTAGTCCGCAGTGCCGCCGCCGTTCACTGGAAGATGGCTAACTTGGAGGTTTTTGAAGATGGAAATCACAAACAATGTTGCTAAGCTGCTAGTGGAACTTTCGAAGTCTCAAGATGAAGAAATCGGTGATGGAACAACGGGCGTTGTCGTCCTGGCGGCCGCTATGCTGGAGCAGGCGTCTGACCTGATCGATAAGGGCATCCACCCAATTCGGATCGCAGATGGTTATGATCAAGCCTGTGAGATCGCTGTTGCACAGCTCGATAAGATTAGTGACGAGATCCTTTTTACCAAGGAAGACACTTCCAACCTACTGAAGGTCGCTAAGACTAGTCTGGGTAGCAAAATGTACGACGGTGATCCCAGCTTTGTTATATTGCTCGTCTCCGGTACTAATGCTTGTTAGTGTTTCCAAATCCCACGATCAGTTCGCCAAGATCGCCATCGATGCCGTCCTCTCTGTTGCGGATCTCGAACGTAAAGACGTCGATTTCGAGTTGATCAAGGTCGACGGCAAAGTGGGCGGTGCCCTCGAGGATTCTCTGCTTGTCAAGGGTGTCATTGTCGATAAGGACTTCTCCCACCCTCAGATGCCCGATGAAGTTAAGGATGCCAAATTGGCAATCTTGACCTGCCCATTCGAGCCCCCCAAGCCGAAGACGAAGCATAAGCTTGACATTACGTCCGTCGAGGAGTTCAAGAAGCTACAAGATTATGAAAGGGAGAAGTTCACAGAGATGATCCAACACCTGAAAGACTCGGGTGCTAATTTGGTCATCTGTCAATGGGGTTTCGATGACGAAGCAAACCATCTCCTTCTCCAGAACAATCTTCCTGCCGTCCGCTGGGTTGGTGGTCCTGAAATTGAGCTCATTGCTATTGCAACGAATGGTCGTATCGTTCCTCGCTTTGAGGACTTGAATGCAGAGAAGCTAGGAACAGCAGGCAGTGTCCGGGAGATGACTTTCGGCACCACCCGTGAGAAGATGCTTGTCATTGAAGATTGCGCCAACAGCCGTGCTGTCACCGTCTTCGTGCGTGGCAGCAACAAGATGGTCAGTTCGCTGTACTATTGATTACACTTACATTTACTAACGTTCTCTCAGATCATTGATGAAGCTAAGCGATCACTACATGATGCCCTCTGCGTTGTGAGGAACCTAGTGCGAGACAACCGCGTTGTATATGGTGGTGGTGCCGCTGAAATTGCCTGCTCTATTGCCGTGGAAGATGCCGCCGTCAAGGTATGTCAAACATTGGCTTGGGTTATGTTTAGACTAATAAATTCTACAGAGCCCTGGAATCGAGCAGTATGCCATGCGCGCTTTCGCAGATGCGCTGGATGCCGTGCCATTGGCACTGGCCGAGAACTCCGGTCTGAGCCCGATTGAGACGCTTGCCTCGATCAAATCTCGCCAGGTTAAGGAGAACAACTCGCGGTTGGGAGTCGACTGCATGATGACCGGCAACAACGGTACGCTTTACGATCATTTAGAAGTAGGAATGATACTAATGCCCTGGTTTTAGATATGCGAGAGCACTTTGCTATTGATCCTCTGATTGGAAAGAGGCAACAACTTTTGCTCGCAACTCAGCTCTGCCGTATGGTTCTTAAGGTGAGTTCCGCGTCTCTATACCAAGTACGACAGAACCAGAGCTAACAGAAAGTAGATTAACAACGTCATCATTTCCGGTGATGATGAGCAGGAGTTCTAGATTTCTTGTATACAATTCGATTTTGATGGCCAAAAGTGAGACTTTCGGTTGTGGTTGTTGATATCACACAATTCATGCCATGGGTAATTAGTTGATTGGTGTCTAAAACATGGCGAATACATAGAGGTCCGTTGCAACGGATGAAAGAAATGAACTTGAATGATGCTCCTCCTTGTCTGTGCTCTATACCGTGCGTGTATCGGATCTTGCCGACTTCACAATATGCACTTGCCATCCAGTGCTCTTCACTTTTTCCGAGAAAGAAGGCCACCCATCTCATCGTACCCTACTCACTGCACAGTCTTAGAAGTGAAGCACTCGAAATCACCTGTCCCCCATTCGGATGCCACAGCCACCGCGAGCCATGGCCAATCCAAGTCAATAACCCTCTTAAGGTTCCAATATCTATCACCTGAACCTTTCCAGATGCCTAACAACAGTCCAGCAGCCTTCACAGCATCACCAATAACGGTCATTGATACTCTTATCAAAACCATCAGATAATAACAAAACCTCCCGAACACCTCCCCCCACGCACTGACGATCGACCGAGAGTGCTTGTCACCGCCTATCGATCTCAATGACATGCAATAGAGTAAGATAGATGAAAGACATTCTTGGCCCCAGCAGAGTCATCCGACTCCCCTACGCCCCACATTACGGTACTTCACTCGCGTCCCAGCAACTCGGGCACCGTCGCATCGGGGAATTAACTAGGACTCCTGTCCCTTTTTTCTTTTTTTGGCAATACAGGAGTCAGATGACGATGGTACAGTAGTAGTTTTCTCTGTAGTCAATACCCTGCAGTACGACGCGCCGACGCAGGGGGACCAGGTCTCTGTGCTGAGGTAATAGCTCATGTTCATCGTCGATCGGGGATCTCCGACGCTCAGATTTCAAGTAGCATCTAGGTACAGGGTACATCTACCTTTCTTCTATTGTATGCGACGTCATACTCCGATGCGGCAAATTCCGGGTCGGGCGCTTGGGTTTTAGATACCTTACTTACTATGGATGAGGGCTTTAAATTTACTGCTGAATGGGGAAGGACGGGGCGGGCCGGGGTGGAAGTCTTTTCTTGTCACAGTATACTATGATAGCATAATCCACAACCCCAACTACTATGAAGGGATGACTCCTAAAAAAAACATAATCATGAGGCAACGTGATTCAGGGGCAGTTTCTTAGTAGCAGGTCACATGGAGTGCTTTTTTCTTTCATTCCGCTTGTCTCGGCTTTTCCGGTCTGAGGGCAGAAAAAGTACTTTCTCTCGCTTTTGTATTTTTTTTTGGGGGGGGGTTCTTTGGATCAGGTTGGTATCTACCGTTTAGCTTGTCCCGCCATCGAGGCTTTGCATCGCGTGGAATTGTAAACCCTATCCCGCGGACTCGTGGTCTTGATCCACTAGGGACATGTGAGGTGGTGATACAATATGTGGAGGGAAGAGAAAGACCCCTTCTTGGGGAGAAATGGGGGAAGGCAATACGATGTTGCATACAGATTAGTAGTAGGATCATCTGTCACGATGGACAGATCCACTGTACCATATCCTCGGATAGGGTGTCAGTCGATTCGCTTTAGCGAGAGCAAAAAGAATTGACAGCTCATAGTCCCAGTAAAGTCATTTGAGGAGTTGTTGTCCGAAGTGTCGTTCAAAGCATAGTGGCGGATAATGAATGATTATGCAGGAGAGAGTTGTGTAACAGAACTGATGACTGTATATACGAGTTGTGCTATTCTAATCTTCTGACTACGAATACTCCGTATGCTCAGCGGATAACAAAGAACTGTTACTAACGAACACAGACATCAATCTATTTACCTTTAATCTAGACCACCCAATCAAACCCACATGGTCAATCAGGACGGACGGATTTCATTTCCTGGTCCGAATCCTGAGCCTAAGATAAGCCTATTATTAGTCTAGTCCAGGGAGATTGGAGAGGAAAAGCGGTACTAACCATGATCATCATCCATGAAACAACGAGTGAGAACGGCCCCTAGGAACAAAGTCAAAGATTCAGATGACCCGATGTTGGCTGATGCGGCAGCTTACCATGTGGTGAGAACAACAACAATTTGACACCTCTCAACTCATTCAACGACTCGCCCCTCCCCATCCCCACCGCCTGACTGGACTTGCATGATACCTAGACGCCAATTTTCGTCTAGGCCCAGCCGATCCACAATAAAAGCAGCTGATTGATGTCCTTCCCCCATCACAGTGCCGAAATCTCCACCCGATCAGCGCGGTTCCTTTTCTCCCCCAGATGTCCTGCGCCTGCCTGCTGGTAAGCCTCGCTCCATCGCTGCCTATCTGGCGCCGCCTTTTCCCCCTTGAAAATAGTCCTCCATGATTT